GTGAGTGAGTGAGTGAGTGAGTGAGTGAGTGAGTGTGTGTGTGTGGGTGAGTGTGTGTGGGCGAGTGTGTGTGTGTGAGTGAGTGAGTGAGTGAGTGAGTGAGTGAGTGAGTGAGTGAGTGAGTGAGTGAGTGAGTGAGTGAGTGAGTGAGTGAGTGAGTGAGTGAGTGAGTGAGTGAGTGAGTGAGTGAGTGAGTGAGTGAGTGAGTGAGTGAGTGAGTGAGTGAGTGAGTGAGTGAGTGAGTGAGTGAGTGAGTGAGTGAGTGAGTGAGTGAGTGAGTGAGTGAGTGAGTGAGTGAGTGAGTGAGTGAGTGAGTGAGTGAGTGAGTGAGTGAGTGAGTGAGTGAGTGAGTGAGTGAGTGAGTGAGTGAGTGAGTGAGTGAGTGAGTGAGTGAGTGAGTGAGTGAGTGAGTGAGTGAGTGAGTGAGTGAGTGAGTGTGTTTGTGTGTGTGTGTGTGTGTGTGTGTGTGTGTCCTCATATGTATGAATAAAAAGCCTGACCCGTTTCCCTGGTGATTGCGATTATGTGTCTTTAGTTCCGGCACAACAGTAACGGCTGTGTTTGATTCAGGCCAAAAGCAGACTTTAGGATCTCTTTCCCCTCCTGAGAGTCTTCAGAGCTGCAGATGTGTGTCGTAATGAGAAGATCTCGGCTGATGTTCACTGAGAAACCTGCAGTGGTTGAGTTTCCGACCTCTGGAGAGACATTTCATCTGAACGGGACAGCGAGACAGAGAGTGTTTCAGTTCCAGATTTGACATGTTGATTCTGGATTCAGAACGGTTGTGACCTCAGCACACGTGTGTCATGTTTACACTGCTCTCTGCTCGTTACAGCGGTAAACACCGCCGCAGGCAGATGTGGTGCGTCTCTGGTCTTCGCTCTGATTCGAGGGGCGATTGATCACTGATGGCTGGATTAGTTCTTCTGCTGCTCTATCATTCTCCTGGTTGATCATCAAGAAGAGTTATGTAACTGCATCATTCATTAGAGCGTGATGTTCAATTCAAGACATTGTTTAATGGCTGTAAATCTCTGGAGGTGGAATATTTGGAAAGGCTTTCTGTGTTATGTCTTGGGTTTTCAAATAAGTTAATTTTATTTGCATTTTTTAAAAGTGAATGTAAATATTGGAATGGCTGCTGGATCAGATATTGAATCAGGTTTGGGTTATTTTTTGAAGAATGTGGGTAACCAAATGGTTTTTAGTCCCCATTGACTCCTACAGGATATTTTTCCACGCTCTTCAAAGTATTTTAATTTGTGTTTCAGCAGAAGAAAACAACTCATGCAGGTTTAGAACAACATAAGGGCGAGTAAGTGATGACACAGAATGATCATTTTTGGATCGCTTCAAGTTATTGATTTAAGTTTTGCTCCACCAACAAAAAAGTGTATTTACAAAGAATCCAAAGTGATGCTAAAGAAGAAGAATAAACTTTATTCTAGATATGTTCTTCTGGAGCTTTGCTTCTAAAGTAGATATGATTAGACAGAAGAGCAATGAAAGAAACACTGATTAATGAAATGATTTTAGCCATGTGTGTATTAAACATGTTCCGGTCCGGAGCAGAATGAATGTGATATTTCAGTCAGGGTTAATGATGAAGCGTCGCTCTTTCTGTGACAGATGGAGGCTGAAGTATCTGTGGAAAATAGTGACTGTTCCCGAACAGGTTTCATGAACACGCCCCCTGTCTGTCATTGGTCAGTCAGACAGATAGCCCCGCCCCAAACTCACATGAAGCTTCACACTTCAGCTGAAGCTGGAGCTCAGATTCCTGGCGTGATCACATTCGTTAAAGCTCTTCTCTGCTGACAGACTGTCCTCCGCTGGGTCTGGAGACGCTGAAGATCGATGACTTTCAGCTCCACGCCTCCAGCATGAGACACTACGGTCTGGGGCCACACAGGGGCCGGCTCAACATCCAGGTAAGATCCGCTCTTCTCCTTCAGCGGGCTTCTGCTCCTCGTCTGTTATTACTCAGATCGGCTCCATCATTGCCTCATCTGGATCCACTTTGCACAGAATTCGCTCTTTGTTTTCCGCTGCGCTCGATGAAAACAGAACGACAGGCGAAAGCAGGAATGATCAGCTGGAAACAGACTTCAGAACGACAGCCGTGTGAAACTGACCCAGTTTCTGCTGTGAGCCACAGAACGCATTACGCAGCTGCGCTCGAGTGAAGGTTTATTCTGAGCGCTCGAGCTCGCTACACACAGAAGCAGCAGGCCTGAGCGTGGACTTCACACATTTACAACTCTAATGAATAGAAACAAACGAGACATTTCTGATTCTGATCAAACCTGTGATCGTTCAAACCTGTATGACTGACTTTCTGCTGGGAAACACTAAAAAAGATATTTTGAAAAATGTTGGGAACTAAACAATATTAGACCCCATTGACTTTCATTATATGGCTGAAAAAACTCTATTTCTCCAAATCTCTTCTTTTGTGTTTTTAACAGAAGAAAGAAACTCGTACAGGTTTGGATGAGGGTGATTATAGTTAACTAAAACTAAAATAATAAACATTTTTTGTCACTTGAAATAAACATTAACTGAAATAAAATAAAATATAAACAAAACTTAAAATTATTTTATTTCAGGCAGTTGTCATCATACTTGATGTACTAAAACTTGAACTGAAATCAAAAATAGTAAAAAACTAATAAAAATGACAAAAAACACACAAAAAAAATACTAAAACCTTAACAAAAATTTGAATAAAAAGGAAAATATAAAAACTAATGCAAACTATTAATAAAAACTCTTAACAGCATCTCATTTGATATTAAATGAGACTGGTTAGGATAATGTGAATAAATGATGACAGAATGATCATTCTGGGTTAACTAACCCTTCACTAAGACTATTACTAGTACTCACTACTCGTGTTTCTCGCAATGAATCGCTGTGTGTTTGTCAGCCTGATCTGTGGATAAACGCGTCTGAATAAATGTAAAGATGTTTTTACGTTCTGATGAACATCATGATTAATTTAACTGCTCCTCACCAGTTAAAAAGATGTTTGTGTGATGGGTAAGTTTAGTGGTTGGGTTAGCTGATAGAAAATATCATTAACCTGATAGAATATCAACGTAAGTCTGTGCAATGACCTCACTTAGAGTTAGAGAAACAAACAGTGTGTGTGTGTGTGTTTGTGTGTGTGATGTTCTGATGGTTTGTGTGTGTATGTGTGATGTTCTGATGGTGTGTGTGTGTGTGTGTGTGTGTGTGTAGGGCGGTCTGTATGAGGATGACCTGTATGACGGCGGCTGGTGTGCAGGACGGAACGACCCGCTGCAGTGGTTCGAGGTGGACGCTCGCAGACTCACGAAGTTCACCGGTGTCGTCACTCAGGGACGGAGCTCACTCTGGTCGTGAGTAACACACACAGCGGTCACGGGTTACATTCCCAGCCAGAGCATCAGCTGATCCAGTGTGTAGCTGGAATGCAAGTGGCTTTGCATAAATGCAGAAATGTAAATATAAGAGATTATAATGGCAGTGATGTGGTGCTTGTGTGTGTGTGCGTGTGGGTGTGTGTGTGTGTGTGTGTTGTTCTG